ATTGATGCGCGTCAAAATGAACAATGAGTTTCAATTAGCTGGCACGTTGAATTCCTGCAATCGCCATTTGTGATATGCCTTGCAATGAGGAAGTCTGAATGGTTTGCTGATTGAGCTGAACGGGTTACCCGCCCGCACGCCAAGGGAACAGGCCGAGCTGCGGCAGTTGTGGGTGCTTGAACTTGCCACAGCATATTTTCATAATAAATGTGTGTGTTTGTGTTTGTATAGGTGTGCTTCAAGCTAAATACGGCTTGAACTTGAGTTATTAATTTGTACGTTTTCGTTGAATGATTGCACATTAAATCGATGGATTTCCTAATAAGTGTGCGAGCTTGTCTTAGATTAATTTTCACAACATTTTTGGAACATTACTGTGCCGCACGTTGAATGAAAACTATGGAAGTTGCATAATTTTTCTACGCACGGTTGACGATTAACTTTATTGCCCTTGTTCTTATTTCAACAGTTCGTTAGACCAGTGTTGCATAACGTGATTATATAATGAATATGTGGATACAACCATCATACTATCATATGTTAAATACTAAAACTATGCTAACTTTAGTAACTAGCAATACATGCTTAGCGCATTTTCATCAATATTCCCAACCATATTCATACCAATCAGTCATGGACATGTGAACTCCATATATGTATGTATATACTTTATATTAATATATGGGATAGTTTAGTACTTGAAATTGGTGTTGAATAAAGTGTTGCACACCCTGGTGGCCACAATGCGGCGTGCCAGCTTCTTGGAACGTCCGACGGCGGTAAACTGTTGATCGTCGACGGTGATGATCATGCGATGCACGATTACGTTCTGTCCATTGTTCACCTCGAGGCACTCGTACTTGAGTCCCGGTCGCATAAGGTCCAGCACGCTGGCTGGATGCATATTATCCCAATTGGCTGGCAGTTCCTTTCGCAGGGCGTTCGGCGCATCCTTTTTGGCCTCCGGTTTATCCTGGCATTCCCAGTCGGCGTACAGCTTGTGTATGGCAAATGAGGCCAACTTAAGCATGGCCAAATCTTTATCGTCTTCTTCCTCATCGGAGCCATTCTCATTGGATTGAGCCATTTTAGCCTTGAAATAATCGCGCAGCGCTAGCTCGCAAACCCGTTCCTTGGCCAACTTCTTGGAACGGCCATTGGCCACGTATGTCTCAGAGTTGAAATTGATGCTGGCCTTAAATCCACCCTCGTCCCCGCAGGTTATTTCAAAGTCGCCGAGCGAAATGCCCTTGAATTCCTTGAGCACCTTCACAGCGCTCTTGGGCACCATCAATCTGGATAACTGATTAATTCCTGCGTAGGCGATGTAAGGCCTTATATTGCTTTAAATGAATCTACGGCTTTGAGGTACTTGCCCAACATCTTTCTGCGCTTTATGCCCAAATTCATCAGTGATAATTTAGGATCCTTGGCAGCATTACGATTGAGCTTTAGCTTGCCTAACTTGGCCTCTGCAGCTCTCTCGGACTGCCAGGATCCTGGCTCCGATTTGTTAAAATAGCTACAATCCATTTCAGGTTTTTCGACGATTTTTTTGACGAAAAACTGCCCTAGCTTCTTTTCACTTACAAAAGCTAATGAAAAGTACAAATTTTGTTGTGCTGAGCAGAGCAAAAACATTTACAACGCCGTCTTTGTGATTTTTTTTTTTGTTTTTCAAGAAACAAGTGGACAACTCTGTTGTTTGTGAAGACATGAATTCGATTTTTAATTTATTTCAATTCAACACGAATAATAACATATATCTGATATAAATTTATATGTAGAAAAATAAAATTGTTTGTCCTGTCGGTAAAATTCCACCCACAATTGTGAAAAATTGGCGAAAGTGATTTGTATAAATCATCTTCGTCTTCAAACTAATTGTCGAAACCATTTGTTGGGTGGCAAATTCAATTTGAAGCAATAAACTTGAGTCGAGATATATATATCTGTATACTATATCTTTATTTTCAAATTTAACCCCAAATAATTCTGATATATCCATTCAAAAACAGACCTTTTCGCATTAATATTTCATTTGCCTTCCTTGTATCTACAAAGTCTTCGAGTCTTTCATGAAACAATTCGTCCGGAAATTATTGACCTTTCCATATGGAAAATTTCCGCATTGCCAAAATGCCGCATTTAATTAACGCTGATTCGTATTCCATTAATAAATCGCACATTAATTAACACATTTTATGAGCTGGCCAAAAGTGAGACCTTTTTAAATGCCTACCGACTAATTTCAGCACAATTCTAACTCAAAGGCTTTATGAGCCGAAGTCACTCTATACCCCATATGAACCCGTCCATTAAGATCAAACACTTTCGCCAGACAGCGGCAAATGCTTCCGTGGCAGAAAAGGCATTTTATGAGCTAAGAAAATGCCTTGCACCGGAATGAGGAGGCAAATTGACTGCTGGCCGCACTTGATTGCAACGGTGCAACAGGCAACGTGCAACGTGCAACGTTCAGCGTGCTACGTGCAATGTGCAACGGGCTCAACTTGTTTGTTTTCAATGGCATCTTTTTTGTGTGGTGGTCATTGGGCTAACCGCGGGGCTATAAGACTGACAGACCCGCCCAATGCCTATGGCCATGCTATGGTTTTTAACGAGCTCGCTAATTTGCCAAACACCAAATGCGGCCTTTTATTATTTACACGGCCCAAACACACACACACACACACACACACACACACACACACACACACACACACACACACACACACTCATATAGAGACACCCAAGTCGCCTCGTCAAGTGTGTGTAGGCGATCTTGCCATGGTTGTCTAGCCAGCCAATTGCCACTTCAAATATCGTTTAATTGAAGAGCAGATAAACTGCTCGAACTGCGCCACAATTCGATTTTTTTATGGCCGCCTTTTTATGCGAGTGCAGGCAATTGCATAATGAGCTGTTGATGAACTCGGGCAAAACCACTGACCCACTAAGAAAGAATAAAGAAAAAGTCATGGAAAATTGGCGAACTTCAAATGCTCTTGCAAAGCGCCTCGGGCAAAGAAACAAAAGACTTTGCCATAGTCTTGTAAATTTATCAATTGATATTTTATCGCAAAATCACATATGAACGTTAAATTATTTAGTATTATATATTTGATTATATAACTATTAAGATTAGTTTGGAGTATATATATGTATAAGAAGTCAGGAGGATTCCGGAAACAAATCTCAGGCTAGGGGCTATATATATTAATATAGGAAATACATTTATATCAAAAATCGATCTTACTTGACTCTACTAATCATAACTATATATCAACGAAAAAGTTTTTAATTTTACAAGTCAAGCGATGCATTGTCTACAGTCAAAAGCAGTCTCTGCCTTGAGAGTCGAGATTGCAAAGAATTAAATGATATAGGGACTTGGTCCAGTTAATGATATAACACAATAACGACTTTCAAAGCGTTGATAACATGTATATACTCTTCTCTTAAGGGCATTTAAAAGACAAGTCAATAAACTTTCAAAATGCAGCCCAGCTGCCAGCAAGGGAAAACTTTGCCCACCCACGTGGACAGAGGACAATCAATTTAAAAAAAAAATATCCACAAAACGTCCAATTTGGTCGCATCAAATTGCTGGCTACTTGCGATTTTGGACAGACAGACTACGGACTCCAGACTCCAGACTCCAGACTTGGAGCTCTGACTCAGTTCTGTCCTGTGCCAGGTCCCGCTGTGCGACAATTGAAAGTGGGGCCCTGGGGCCGTACAACTTGTTAACTTGTACTTGCAGTTGTTGCCTGGCTTTCTTCTCTTTTTGTTGTTGTTGTTGTTCTTTCTTTTCTGTTTTTCTTTTTCGTTTTGCCAGCAATTGTGCAGTTTGTTTCGATTACTTCATTTGCTCGTTCGTGCCACACAAAACAGTTCTCTGTGAAGCGTGTGACCCAGTTTGGGCCTGCGCATAAAGGCCAAAATTTGTAATGGCACAAAAGAAATAATATTATACTCTACATAAAATACGAATTGCACCCACTGAAATCGTGCACCACTAATTGACCACTGTGCCCACTAATATCGCATATCACTAGCTGGTCCCATAGGCCATTGTGAATATGACCATTTAAATAGGTGGCCAGAGAGCGCTGTGCATTGTGCATAGACATTAAATTTATGACCGGGCCCGTCTCCAGTTGCGCATTTCGTTTGGACAGATTGTTGACAAATGTCACGGTAGTTCGCATTGTCCGTCCTCAAATGTGGGGTGCTATGCTAATTACCAGCGCAACAGCTCTGACAGCTCTCTGACAGCCTGTTCGACTACTGCGCACGCCCACACACCCAGATTCAGAGTCAGTTTCAGATCCAGCCAGACGACGCCGTGATCTATGGGTGCTGCCAGAGACTCGGCCAGTTTGCACGTCACAAATATCACAATCAAAATATATATTTAAAACGTATTTTTTACACCTTGAAAATGTACGTACATATTTGTCAAATATATAATAAAATAAATAAATATGCAAACATTCTATACTGTTTGCTAGTCTTGCAATGTCAACGTGTAAACCTTATCTAAATGTCACCGCAACGCACCCATTTGATAATACAGACATTAATTTATGCGCTTGCATAGTTCTGCTTCAATTTGAGTGCTGAAACCTAATTAATCAATTTTCTTGATTTACAAAAAGCCACTTAAGTAGGGATCGCGAGCTCCCGTAAAACAAATTTTTTATGATCTTAGTTAATGTTTTAAAGTCTAGTCCGAGAAAATGTATCAATTCTGGGAGCAGAATTCTATTCATGGTTTGCTTTCGTAGGCGAAACTTCAAAGTTGTAGTTGTTGGTGCTGGCTTAGCTGGGCTTCTGTCTGTACGTAATTTACAGCACTGTTTTTAAGCAACACTAATCACCCATCAACGCTGTTTGACACTGGCACGCGCGCCCGCATGTAACCCATTGAATGTTGAGCTAAGGAGTTTATCATATGCATCCACAAAACAAAAAAAAAAAAAAACAAACGAAAATTGAATTTTCCTTGTGGCGATAATCAGCGAGTGCTTAACTCGAGTCATTCAACATGCACAAGTTGCATTTTATTTTTAAATGTGGACCGTGGGTGTTCCTCGGAAGTACCAGCTGCCTTTCTTTTAATCTACTTCTCTTCTTTTTCGGGTTACATCCAAAGTGATGTACTTAGAGGCCCGCCTCAATAATGTGCCATTAAAGTATTAACAGCACTTGGTCCACAGTGGGTGTCTAAGCCCAGCAGCTGCCAGCCTGCCCAGCTGGCTAGACGACACTTCAGGTTTTGGAGTTGCTGCCTGTCTGCCTGGCCATAATCGATGAGTGAACATTTGTAGCTGTGTTCTGAATGTTGTTGAGGATTTGCGCTTAAATAGACGCTGAAAAGTGAACATCAATCAGCGCAGAGAACTGTTTACATGTCTTGGGGTATCTACTATGTAACGTATCCAATTTTTAATTGCTTTGAAATTCTTCGACAAGCTGACAAGCCTTAGATACTGATCTCGAAATGTGGCTCATCGCTGCCTAACGGTGGTTTTTTGATTAAATTCAATTCAATGTGATATATATATATATATATGTATATATACGAACGCCAACACCTACCCCCTAGCCTACCCCAACCTAATCCCTCTTTATGGACCCGCTTTCAATTTGATTTTGTTTTGATTGCGTCTCTGAGCGCCTGGCTACCAGTTTTTCCAGCGGCGCCTGTTGAACCTGTTGATTTGCCTATCAGCATTTGTCGTTGTCGTTAATGTGTTGTTGTTGTTGCTGTTTTTTCTGTTGGGCTGGCTTTCCATGGCATTGCCACACAGTTGGCAAAGAAACCAATGCCTATCTGTGGCATTACATCAGGCCGGCCAATCGATATTTACATTCATCTCTCTTTCTCTCTCCGAAGTCTCGCGCAGCCAGATTTTGATTTGGCAGATTGATTTGTATCTTGGCCAGCCTAATGAAGACAAATGTCTGGGAAGTCTGGGCGGTCTTGAGGCTGTTGCAGCTCAATTGATATGTAGCCACAAAATTAATTCCACTAATTGAATATTTTTGTTAAATCAATGAACAAACGCGCTAAGCTTTCTTTTGGCCTGGGCGTTAGATGTTTTTCTTCTTCTAGCATGCTTTAGGCCAATATATTGCCTGGCAGCAGCTGTCTCTCGTTTGACAGTTGGTAGAAGTTTTTGGCGCATTATTGTTACGTTTACTTTTTTCTTTTTGTCTGCCCCCCTTTGACGCACGCGGCGTATGCGCAATTTTATATCATTTTGCTGAGACTTTTGCGTCATTGCCGTGAAATTCTTTCATAGATTTAATTTGTTTGACAGCTTGTATAAAATAATGCTCAGGTATAGTTTCCACAGCACATGAGTTGAGTGAAGCAAATAGATATATTTTTAAATAAATACATTTATTTCTTTAGTTTAAAAGGAAAGCCAACTAGACACTTTTTTAAATAAATCGATATAAAAAAACAACATATGTAGGAATATTCGAAATAAGTTTATTAAGAAATTTAAGTTTTTTTTTGTTTTAAATAAAACAGTTTTGAACAATCATAAATTGCCTCTTAACGGCAGGCCCAATCTCTTCAGTTGCTAATTGCCTTATGTTAGGCCTTAATTTATCTTAACGATAGCTAATAAAACGCAAGTGGAATTTTAAAAAATGTGAATGTAGAGCCATATTTTTGTTTAACTATTGCGGCTTTCAAAATGTTTTAATTATTATAATATTTATTTTCTTATCGTTGTGCTGCCTGAATGACTGAGCTATCTTTCACTTTCGTGCATAATTATTTTTCGTAAAGCTTTTGATTACAAATTTAAGCACTTTAAGCCGCAAAAAGTTTTTTTTAATTTATTTTAAATAAGTATTTGTTATGCTGGCTATTTATTAATTGAATGAGTCATAATGAAATATTCATATTTTTGAATTATCTATCTATATATTATCTATCTGTATCTATCTATACATTGATTTATATATCAACTATTTGGACTGAGGAAATGATTGCTGATCAACTCAACTCAACAGCTGAAACATCGAGCTAACAAGCGAGAAGTCGCAATCAATATAATATTAAAAAACATATATTTTTTTAATAATAATTTTTTAAGCACTTCGTCTTAATCTCAGACACTTCAATACGTACTTTACGTATGCCAGACACGGCAATATATCAGAAATATATGTATATTTTTATTTGCCTAAAAACAGAAGGGAATCACTGTGAGAAGCAACCGTTATCTGCTGTGGAAGCTCATGTGATCTCTGGATCACGTTGAACACAAATCAAAATGAAAACTGACCACAGATGTATGTGGGCTGCCACATGCTAATAGAAAAGCACTCTAAGAACAAAAAAAAAATAAAAAAAGAGAGAAAAAAAAACTCCAAAACAAAACGCGTTACAGTTTAGGTGTGAAAATCAGCCGGAAAGGCGAGCAGAAGATGGCTAAAAAAAACGTTTGCAGCTGCCGAACAAGAAATTGCAATTTAAACGCGATAAATTAAATGGAAATGGGCAAGGGAATCAGGAATTGAGAATTGGGCATAAATAATGCGCGTTTCTAGCCAAATTGACGCGGCGTGCAAATGAAATGAAAATTGAAACGAGAGCCGAGTCAAGTGATAAATCTTTCTATTAGCCAAAGTGCGCATGTAGACGTAGGCCAACAACTGTAGCATTAACTGCCAGCAGCAGCAGCAGCAGCAGCAGCAGCAGCTTTGTTAGCGCCGCCGCCAACGCGACTGCAGCCTGGCGATTTTAATCGCGTCGCCGCCGCCAGGCTCGACTGCATAATTTATAAAATCCATTTTAATCAGCGCGCGCGCTGCGCTAAGAAATTACTTTGTCTGCATTTAAATGGCAAAAACAGGGCCAAGTGCTGAACTTGGCCCAGCGGCAGGTGTTGCCGCGGCCAGGGTCTGGGGCCGTTTTGAGCCTGGCTCTCTCGATTCTGGCCAGTACGTGCCGTAGGTGTGTTAATTCGAGCTGATTGCGTAGCGCATTGGCCGCTTTGCTCATTGAGTTGTCAGTGCGTTGTCTCCGCCTTGCCAACTGCTCCATGATAAATGGCCCACAATTATGTCGGCTGCGTCTATATCTACGGACATCGATGTTCTGCATCGGCTTCTTCTTCTTTTTGCTGTTTGGTTCAAAGGCAGCACAGCCGGCAAACATAAACTAAATGAAAAAAAAAAACCAAGGCTAATTGAATAAACACGCCGAAACGCGCGAGAAAGCAGCGTCTGGAAACCTATTGTATCTATGTATCATAGGCTACTTATTTGTCTGTCATTGTGAGTGTACATGTGTGTGTATGTGTGTGTGTGTGACTGTGTGTGTGTGTAGTTATCCTACCCACAAATTGACACAAGTGGCTGCCAAACAATTCTCACACATTCATCCACGCACGCACATTTTCGAGCGTTTACAAACGCGCGCGTTTTCTTAGTTGTGCTCTTTAATCAATTTGATTTTATTAAAATAAAAAAATTGCAGAGCTTGTATATTTGGCCATATTTAATTAAAGTAATTTTTCTATTTTGATCATCTGTTTGTAGACATTATAAGACAAATTTTTATATTAAAAGATTTTAGAATAAAACATAAAAATATGAAAAGTAGGTCTATAATTTTTTTTTGGCAATTTAATTGTCGCATAGGAATAGTATCTTTTTAGATCTTTTGCCTTATTAGGTTGTTAATAGGTATTTTTTTATTTTTAACAGCTTTTTCGTTTTGTTTTCAGTTAAGATATATTGATATTGAATATAAATCAGCTTAGATATAATATTAAAACTTAAATTTAAATCTTTTCTAAGTGGAAATGCTTTTTATATATATTATATTATATATATTTTGAGTTTGCTGAGCGTCGAACTAACAAACGAGAGGTCGCCGGTTCAAATTTAAGCAGAATATTTTCATTTTGTGTTCTTTTTTCATTTATTTTTTATTCACAAAAAAGAAAGCAATAATAGTTTTAGCATATAACTATTCATCCTGACTGACTTAAATTTTCAGAGTACTGTCCTTTTGGCACACATAACCAAGGATTTGTGGCAAGTTTTAAGAATATATTTTAAAAAATCGAAACTAGTAGTAAAATTGTGAAAATCATAGAAACTGCAGACATATCTCTCGGAATCGACTGTTAAAAATGATCTGGAATTTACAAATATAATTTTTTTGTAGTTCGAAATGTCGTCTTCAAAGCAATTACTTACACATACGAAATATGTTTTATTTTATTGTATTATTAACCCATATTAGGGCGAATAAGCATTCTTATTGCTTTACTCGAAATATAATCTGTGCAGTACATGCTGTCTCGTTTATCAGAAGCATTTTCATAATATCGCCCATTAGGATTGCTTGAAATTATAGGATCGACCACATTGAAACATATATAATATTTTAATAAATTATTTACTTACCACCATATATATCTTAACGAATACCAAAAGCCTCCATGGTATGTCTTCGAGTGGGCCTGAGAACTGGTTTCCCGGTCGTAAGTGCTAAATTCATAATCCAAATGATAATACATCATGTCTATAGTGCCTTTCACTTCACCCAGACTTTTCAGTTTGTAATTTTCGACTTCGCTACCAATATAAAAATTATTATACCGAGCCCAGCGGGTACTACCATTAAATGCCTCTATGAAAAAATACAACTCGTAGCGCTGATAATTGGTCAAGTGATAAATATTTTCTAGACCTAGGAAAAACTCTTTATCCAGATTGCCGAAACCGTTACGGTAATCATCCCAATTTCTATAAAAATCCTCTGAGCCATCAATTCTCCGTTGAATGAGAGTCCAGCCAGGTCCTGCAGTTTGACCATCGCACATTACGCGAAAAGGACTTATACCGGGAAGGTGAAGTGTTTTAATGCCTGTATAATAGCCGAACGGAATACAGCTGGTGGGCTTCGGTATCTCAATTCTTGGGGTGGTTTCCCCAATAGGATTTGCGGATGTCTTCACCAGCCGAGACCGACACAGCTGTAGCTGGTTTTCAATAATGTTCGATGGTGATAGTTGATTATTATTATTATTGTCAACCATTATTTTAAGGATTTCTGCGGTGCTCTGTAGTTGGGCTATTCGATGTTGAAGGTTCAGTTCAGATTCATTGCACCTTTCGTTTGTGCAGTTTTTATTAAGTAGCAACTCGTTCGCTTCCTTTAGCGATTTTATCAGCTTATCTTTGTACAGATCCTCAGACAGTTTTAATTGAAGCCAAACTAGCTTTTCTTCCAGTTCCCTCTGAGATTGTAATTGCACTTGCAACTGATCTAGACTCTTTAATAATGATTTAGTTATTATCTTTTGTATATGCTATTACAGTTCTAAATACCATGTCCTGAGCCCCGATGGCTGCCAGCAATAAACCCAGCAAGACAAATGTGATCATTAAATCCATTTTATACACTTTACTTTTAACAGCTTAGACAAGTATTTGCCTTCAGAGTATAAATGAGCTTTAAATGAACTAACATGTAGCTTATATGTGATTGGAGCAGAGCATTAAACTGTATCTGTAACTAAACATAAATTTGATATGGGTTTAACTCCCGGAAACATAAATGGCTCAATTTTTTATACCCTGGACCAATTGAAAATGGGTATCCTGGATTTTTGAAATGTATGTAACAGACAGAAGAATATCATCGAAAATTCCATAAATCAGTTTCAGTCGCTCTTGGTCAGCATCATCGTCTGTTTGTCTATCCGTAAGTAAAAACGAGTCGATCTCAGAACCTTGAGACTTGTAACTTGAAGCATAGGTTCTCCTGGTGCCCGCAAGTTGATTTCGAAACATCTCCTAGTCGGCGACTCCCGGCTAAAGCACCCTTGACTTAACTCTCGAGTTTTGGATGTCAAATTAATGCCTGAAAATGATTTATATAACTATTAAAAGCCTGGGCTTGTCATAAACTATATATATATATATATTTTTAGAAAATAAATAATTTAATATGGCTACTAACTGTAACTATGTATACTTAATTCGTTCGAGCTAGAAACTTCAGATTTATATAGAGATATATACTCCCTTCTGCTACTCAGTTCTTCTGTGGCAATTGGAGAGAGACAGCAGCAGCAGCAACAGTTATTGATCTTGTCGCTCTGTCACCAACTGTGGGTCAGTTTGTCAATCTGTGGGGCAATCAACGATGCGTGCCGCACGCATTTATGTGTTAGGAGTGTTCCTTCAATCGATGCAATCAGTAGGAGCTCGACTTTCAGTTGAGTTGCCCTTCTGCCATACTAACTTAGTGGCCATTTTATGTTTGATTATCAATCAAGCGGCAAATCAGCGGCAAATGATAGGCAATTGGTCGGGTTGGTGCTGCAGCATATACATATATACTATGTATATATAAATGCATACAGCTGATCATTATGCAAAATTCTGTGGCACAACAGGGTCATTAACTGGCCACAAAAGCGCGTTGACTTCTGCGGTCAAATTCATAAATCAGCTGCCCTCGAACGTAAGCAGCCGACTCCCCTCTCCTTCGCCGCCCAGGCAATTGAGCTGGAATGCAGCTCACAGTTCGCAGCTCTTGAGATAGATCGCAGCGCAGTCGCAGTCGTAGATAAATTGATGATACGGGCGGGCAGGCGCAGCTGACTTCTACTTCGAAAGGTAAAGATCCATTGACTAATAGTGTTAGATTCGCGCACGGCCGATAAGCGTTTTGTTACCAGTCCCAAAACTAGCTCACCAATTGTCATCAATTATATTGATTAATAGTATTTCAGCAATACTAGGCACCGGCCCCTCCGGCTCCACACTCGAAAATAGTTGTATTGCGACTTTTTTTTTTTTCGAGTGCGCGTTCACTTTTATTATTGCCATTAAAAATAGTGAAGAAAAAAAAACTGCCATGCTAAATATGTCAATGCTTATCGGTTATTGGCCCGCAAACTTTGTTATTTTGATAAGAATTCCTGCGAATCGCGCGGTCAGCTAAAGCTAATTATGTGTCCAATTGGAAATTGTCAGCTGACTTCCGCTGACTTATGCAGGCGTTAGCTTTAAGGCAGGTCATGTGAACGCCTCTCACTTGGGTAACATTTCTCAAATGCACCGTTTGTAAGAGTTCAGTAGTATGAGCACTTAACCCAAAATGTTATCTCAAGCAGCTAGCTATAACTATTTCCGGTTTAAAGGCTTTGCAGTTAAGATAAGGCGGTCGCACACGTGTCTACGGATAAGGTTTGAACTGGCACGTAGATAGAACTGTTTTTGGTGCGCTTAATTGTGCTCAAAATATTAAATAGAAGACAGGCATAATTTGTTTTGGCTTTGCAAAGTTTTCAACTTTTTCAACTTAAAAGTTGACATTTGAAATAAGTTTGTTCTATAAATATTTATAGCTTCAAACTCTACAATATTATGCTCTTGCATGTCTTGGGGTTTTCCTGCGATTGCTCGCTCCAACTGAAGCGCTGCCATTTGATGGTCTGGCGAATAATTTCAGCTCCATTTCCCATTAGAGAGCGCATAGACAAGAATGCATAAATAATTTTCAAGAATGCGCAGTTGTCGACGCACATGTGTATGCCGCACACACAGAGTTTTGGCATAAACAAAAGGCCAAACCGGAAGGCGGCATAATGAATGTGGCACTCGAGATCTTTGCAGTTGGCTTTTATGTGGCCGTTGTACATTATGGGCGGTAATCCAAGAGTGCGCCACTTAATTATCAGCGCAGATACAAAAGTATCTATAAGTTGTACTTATTATGTATGTACTTTATGACTACAGTAGTGCCTCGCTTTGCAGCCTCTGGCAGCTGGAATTGTCAACGTCGCTGCTGTTGCTGCTGCTGTCCCACTCAAGTGCATTTTTATGATCGCTCATTAAATTTATGGCTTTTAATTTGTCGGCCTTTGTGCGTGCTGCGTTGATAAGCGCCCATCTCAATAACAAATCTCAGTCTCAATCTCAGACACCACACACACGCACGCACCGCACTCAAGTGCTTGCAGCTTGTTAGCTAGACACATCAAATGATTGATATTTGTTGATGGTATTTTGTTGCACATTTTTGTGGCAGCCGCAGCAATTTATGTGGCAGGAGTATTAACATTTTTTCAGACATTTAAGACACGCTTCATATGCCTGGCTTAAGGCCAAAGAAAGCGTGTGAAAATAGCTTTTTATATCTTTTAATTGCATTATTGCTCAAACTTGCATGTGGGTGGCAACTCTACAGTTGCAGTGCTGCCAATCTGATTATAAAGGAGAATAACAAATTTCAGCTCTTAGCCGAATTTATTGAGCGGGGTGTAAATTGCAGGTTTTAGAAGCTGTGGGAAGAGACTAAGTAATAGAGTGAATTATAGTTTTTAATTATAATTCAATTGTTTGCTAATCATATATTTGTGATTACTCTAGAGTTGCAGTGCTGCCCATTTGCTTTAAACAATTTGCTCTCACAGCGATTTACAGAGAGTAAGGTGTGATAAGGGAGAAGAAAGAATTCATATATAAATATCAACTTTTTTTATATATAATTCTTGATTTAAATAGATAAAAAATGTTTATGTATTTATGGTAAAGAGCAAGCATAACTATAACTATAAAGACTTTTTAGGCTTTCTAACAACATTTCAGCTTTCATGTGACTCTAGACAGAAAGGAAAAGAGAAGTGCAAGACATAAAAAAAGCAACTATATAAAAACCAAGCAAGATTATAAAAAAAAAAACAAAGAAAAGAATTAGCTTATGTAGGCGTGCTGTAGGTGGAAAAGAAAATCCATGAATGAGAGTTTCAGTTCAAGTTGATTGCATTTATAGAGCGAATAACAAATGAAGTATAATCAGCCTAAGGTTCTACTATAGCCAACTCGACTGCAAATTACAAATTATTACCTACAGCTGTATCTGCCTCTGGCAAGCATTAAAGATTAATAGAGTGACATATGGAACTGGCGAGGGTATAGAATATTCGTTGCAATGCTACACAAAGTCAGCGCCATGCACTCAATACTTATCATTCGAATATATATTTATTGCAGTCTTAAGTACTTTTTTCGAAATTTACGCACTTGCTCCATTGACCGACTTCGTACGGACGCAGTTCATGTCTCGATCATATAATTCAAAGTAATATAGGCTGCCCCTCTACATTCCCACTCCACCAGGCAAATCCTTGCCAAAACACGTAGCACACAATCAGCTAATTGGATGTGTGTGTGTGTGTGCGTGTGTGTGTGTGTGTGGGTGCGCTTTGGTGTCGTCGCATTTTGTGGCATTCATTAGCATTTCGAAACGGGAGCCTCGCCCATAAGCGATCTTTAATGGGTAGTACGTGTTGCGGATTTCTGTAATTAATGTGATCCGTTGTGACCTTAACAGTGTGTTGTCAGACTGATTAAAAAGTGTTGGGAAACAAGTTGTAAATGCGCGCAAATGAAACGGAAAACGGCGAAAAAGCGAAAATCCCAGGAATTTCAAAAGCTCATCGAACGGTTTTATTGTTTTTATTTCTTTTTTAATTTATTTTATTTTATTTTATACTCCCTATGTTGTCATTTATAATGGACAATGCTACCAGTTGGGTCCAGTTGTCAGCCTAATTAAAGCGAACATGTGCCAAGATCAATGTCGATGGCGCCGCACCGAGTCCGTGCCTCGCCCGCGCCTGTATCTCACGGATACTTTAGCGAATGCAAAAGTGTTTTTTTTTTTCTTTTTGTAAAACTGCAAAAATTAATTTATGCCATATTCATATATGACTTGTTTGCGGCTTAATTGCGTTTTTAAGAAAACATTTACTGACAAATTGACTGCCCCGCACAACCCCCCCGCCGCACTCTATATTAAGCGAATTATGCGCGTTTTGCATGCGATTTATGCACAACATGCGAATTTCGATTGTTGTCGTTTGTTATTGCCTGCAAATGGCATTGAACTTTCGGGCTTTGGGGGCTGAACATATTAACTGAGTTGTATTTATATGAAATCTATACGCTGACAGCCAGTCAAACGCATCCGCGAAGAAATCTTCAACTTAATCTAAATAACTTTAAAGCAGCCCCACCTTTTTGCTATGCTAATGAAATGTTTGCAAAGGAGAAAGAAACCTTTTCTTCTACCATGAATCCTCTAAAAATGGGTAAATGGCTTGGTGAAAATGGATGTAACAGGCAGGAGAAGACATCACCGAATCCCTATGTACCCTTTACCCTATATACCCTACTGCAGATCGAGTTTATGGCGTGTTGTCGATATCTCAACGCATTTTCATAATATCGATAAATATCGATTCTGATTTAAGAAAAACTTGGGAACTATGATATGATAGTTGCACAACACTTTGTTGGCTCTCGTAAAGTATATACTGATTAAAATTATTTCACATTTCGATCGGACTATAAGAGCCGAAATTAGCCAGCATAGGGCAAGGCTGGAAGAAAAAGAAGAAGTATGTGCAGAGAAAAAAGCTTGAGCTAACGGCAGCTTGGCACTGACAC